GATAGATAAAATATTTTGCATGAAAACATGATATTTTTCTTTTTAAGGGAAAGTCAAATTTAGTGAGTTCAGACAAGATGTAAATATTGTTGTATTGTTAGTTAAGAAAAAAAATCCAGCAAATTTGAAATGGCTTAATAAAACAACAGTCAAAAGCTTTTCCTTTGGGCAGTTTTCTTCCCTTAACTCTGAAAATGTCAATCAACAAAAGGATTCGTCTGGTGCCCATGAAGAAATCTGCAGTAAAAATGAACTCATGAATACACCCCAGAACTTACCAAAAAACTCTGGGGATGTGAAAAATAATTTTAATATTTATGTTTTCTGCATCCATGCATACAATTTAATCTTCATACCAATTTTATTATAGAGCTGTATTATCCTAAATTATTGAGTAGAATCTCACATTTCACCACCAATGTTAGGGAGGGCTGTTACTCTAGGAAGGCCTGAGTGTCCCAGAACACAATTTTTGGCTTCCTGCCTACCCAAGATGGATGAACAAACTGTGTTCTACACCACTGAAAATATTCTTGCCTCATTTTTTTTCTCAGCTACAAATAAATAATAATTGAAAGAACTATATTTTTACAGCAGATTTTCCAAGTTTTCTTCCTGTCTTGCATCTGCCAGTTTATAAAAAAATATCAAGAGTTCAATGAAATGGGGAAATTTCACCCTGTTAGGGAGTCAGAGCCCTTCCCTCTTTGTTTTAGCACAAACTGAAGGAAAAAGAGGGATTTGCACAGAAATTAGAAATACCTGCAGAGGAGTTAGAAATACCTACACCTTGCATGGAGAAAGACAAAAAATGAACCACCTACACTCTGGTCTTGGCCTGTTATTGTTTGGGTTCCCCCATCCTGGTAGCCCTTCCAAGAAACCACGTACCAGTAAAACATATACAATTAACATGGAGAAATAATTACCAACAGGAAGCTGAACGGTGCCATCCTGTAAAGTTCCCCTTGGGACAGGCTCTCTTCCCTGAATTGTACTCAATACACAAATGAACAACAATTATTTTCTGAATCAGCATGAAAATGAGCAAGCGAAAAAACACACCAAGGTTAATTGGGGAACCAAATGAGAGTATTAACAGATCCAAGGATAATTAATCATCGCCCAGGTCTGGTTCTCCTACAGATTGCTCACCTGCTCAGGCCCTGATAACCACTACCCCCTAAATCAGGCAGAATTGAACATGATGAGCTCAGGACCAAGCCCTCCCTCATGCTGGTCAGGTCGTGGGGAATGTGGGAGTCAGGTTTGCAGCACAAGGCGTGACCCCCACAGCAGCCCCTGGTGTTGTGCCAACCCTCATCAGCGCTTGGCAGCAAAGCAAGCAAGAGAAAACACAGGCAGGCACAAGGCAGAGAGAGAAAACCGACAGGGCTAGGGTTTACAGGCCCTATATTTACCACATTTTAAAAGGTGACTGTCGATGCAATCGCGGGCATCGAGGAACGGCACTGTTTCAAATCCTTGCTTACGAGCACAACTCCTCAGTAAATCCCTAAAAGTGCCTTTGCTGAGGTCAGAGATTTTTCTGTGATGCCCCCAGCAGTTCTACAGAACAGGTGTGTGACTGGTGCTCTGGCAGTTACTGCTTTGCTTCCCCCTCTTGGAAACATCTGGGAGCTCTCAAGCGGCGCACGGAGGAGCAGCGGCACGAAAACGCCCCATTTCACATACGGGGTTGTTTTACTTGACTTGTTTTGAACAGGGCCCTTCCTAACCAGAAATGGTGTCTCAGCTGCAGGATTTGTAAAGAAAGAGAGGGAGATTTGTCTGCTCCTTGTGGATAAGTGTAGCTGCCAGCACTGCCACGCTGGTCAGAGCGAGGCTTTGACGTGTAATTTAGAAGAACAGATGTTTTATCTGGGAATTTGCCCAGATCTTAAGAGTAGAAAGTCGTGAGGAATGCAGCAGTGGCCTCTTTTGTCAGCACATTATCCTGAAAAGTCCTGAAGAAATTGTGAGCTAACAGTTGGATTTCTAAGGCCCAGCAGAGAAGCAGAGACAATGTGTGATTACCTTTGTGAGTGACACACACTGCAGTGATGAGCTAATTGGTGATCACCAGTTAAATGGACTGAGCAAAGCTGTAAACCCTGCACATGTTAATATGCCCATTATTTTCCCATCAATCCTCTCTTCTCATCCTGTTCTTTTGAGAAGAGCCCAAGAGTGACATCTTTCCTTCCCATCCTCTGCACCAGCAGCGACAAATGGCACCAAGTATTACAAGGACTGGACGTGTCTGAGAAATCTTTGAGAGACATTAACTCCTGCATTTCATGCAAAACTGAACTAATAAAGACTTTTCCTCATAGATGTCCAAATTGAAAGGGGTTTTAATCCACACCAAAAAGATTTCATAAGACTCTATCATTAGTACAAGGACTATTAAGCATAAAAGAAGGTACCTTCAAATTTATCTTTTGCACACTCTTCAATCACTGCTCAGTCTTGCCTTTTCTCTAAATGCACTGTTCAATTTGTACCATAAATGCCTTGGAGGATGTGCTGACAAAATGCTATTATCTGTCTGAAATACCTCTCAGACATCTTCTGCCTTTAACTTTTGAAGTACTAAATGCTTACTAGAAAAATTAGTTGGACAGTGCCCATGGAGAAAGGCAAAAAATGAACAAACTGCACTCTGCTCTTGGCCTATTATTTGGGTTTTCCCATCTTGTTGCTTCAAGAAAACACAGGGAAAGCACATACAATTAACATGGATAAATATACCCACAGGAAGTGAAACAATGCTATTTTGTGAAGTTCCCTTTGGGCTGTGCCCTTTTTCCTGAATCGTACAGAGGACACAAATAAACAGTTATTTTCCTAATCATCATGAAAAGGAACCAGAGAAGAGAAAACACCTATGAACACAGCAAGGTTAACTGGGGAATCAGCTGTTGGTATCAGCAGATCCAAAGGGCAGGGTGGTTGGAACTAAATGAGTTTTAAGGTCCCTTCCAGCCCAAAGCATTCCATGATTCGAGATCAAGGGTTGCTCACCAGGTGATCTGCAGCTCTTCAGTGGGTCACAGGTACCTGGGGGACACAAATCAGAGCAGTTCTGTCTGGCAGACTCAGCCAGAACGAAGGTGTTGCTCTCTCCATTACTTTTTGCTGAGCCTACACCCTGTGTAAAGCCACCAAAGCAAGTTGATAATGATGCATGAAGTGGAAAACCCTCCTGGAGCACACCCAAAAGCACTGTGGATGTGCAGAACAACCACAGCAGTGCTGTGTTATTTGGTGGACCTTACTCCATGTGCCCACAGGAACATATTCAGGTTTTCACTGGTTTCAAACAGGTGCAACTCCACTCCTTGCAATGGGTTTATTCCTAAACATGACTGGAGTCAGACAGAGTAGTACAGAAAGAGCAGAATGCTGTGGGACTAAAGATGAAATCCTTTACAGGTGTCACTTCCCTGATTCAAATCAGCAGAGAATTTGCCCTGGTTGCTCCCCTGTTGACGTGTGTCCCCTCTGAGGAAAAGGGAGCTGGGTACCTGGAGAATAAAACTGCTTGGGGGTTCTCTGTGCCACTATCACACATCAACACTAGCTCTTTCAGCATCACAAAACTTGCTGGAAACTGTTTGGAGAATTTTCAGTGTAAGTTTTCAACACTTTTCGATTCATCTCCATAGTCACAGTGCTGCTCAAAGGTTATCTGAAATGGCTGCGGGCAGTGAGGAATCAGAGAGAGATCACATGAAAAGCAGCCTGGTTTCTGCAAAGAAAGGATATTCAGCTCCTCTGTACCATTACTCTGAACCATTTTGGCTACTTTGGGGACATTAAATACTGGAAATAGCTCAGAAAGCATTTTGGCTCCACATCTATGTCTATATATCACAAGGGCTACTGTATAATGCAAGTGATTCAAATCCATCCTAACTAAAAAATGTAAGCTACATAATGCCAAAAATGTCATTAGGATGTAAGCCCTGCCCATAGGCAGACTCCTTCCATCCTTCCAGGGATCATTCCAGATTGAAACCCAGAGATTTAACATACTTGCCTCCTGCACATTACACCATTAACTTTGTATTATCAATCAAAGACAAATTATTCTTACAGGATCAGCTTCCTCAGCCAGGTATCAGTGAGATAAGATGAGATATGGTCCTAGTACTTGGGAATCAGATCATCCTGAATGGTTTAAGCCTCTTTGGCTTAAACAGCTGTTGAACTCTCATCTCAGCTGATGACAACATTTAGGACCTGAGTTGTTACAGGTAAATTTTTGTTTCCATACTAAACAAGGAGACTAATTGAAGACCAGTCCCCAAATTTATCACTCAAATATAATGAAAGCAAGGCAACGTATTTTCCTTAAAGTGCAGACCCAGCATTCAGAGTACACAATTTATTCCACGCTTGTTGGCAAATGGGGTTTATTTCTTCAGTTTTATTCTGGCTCTTGACTCAGAGAGGCTCTGGAGATACTCAGACCCAGTTTCCTTACTGGTTTTACTAGTTTTGCTTCCAAAATAGGACAATGTTAGTTTGTGTGATCCACATTTGTCTTTAAATTGCTTGATTCTGGCGTGTTTGCAGCACATTTCAACTCATGACCAGCTTTTCTTCATTTATTCGTAGCTTCTCTCGGGAAAATTGTGTGGTCTAATCTGAACATCTTGGCCAAAGCTTGTAATCTACCTACTCTATTTGCTCCTAATTCAGGCCTTCAGCAATCAGATCTGGAGCTTTCTGCCATTATGTGACTCCCCATGGAGATGCTCCACAAACTTCCACCAACACCTTTCAGTTTGTTGTGGTTTTTTTCCCCACAAATTTAAGCAGAGGTTCGATATATTTTTTAAAAAAACTAATATCTTTTTAATCTCTTCCAGTTAAGTTGCTGGAACTGCAGATGTCCCTGACACATATTTCATGTTTTCAGGTTTTCAAATGTGCATATTTGCCGCTGTGAGAGACACAACCCCCCCCCAAGCCACCCGAGGTTCCCTCACCTGTGCACCAGCTGCTTGCGGCTCACGCAAATCGCAGTCTCGTAGTCGTGGGTGACACACACCTTGTGGGGGCTGCACTTCACCTTCAAGCAGGGATCCTTGGAGGGATCCAGGGCTGCAAAACACCAAACACACCAAAAATTTGATTTCACAGCCACTGCATAACAGGCATATCATTTTGTAGAAGTTATTTTTAATTTTTACAGGGAAGCATCTCCTTAAAATGCTTAAAATGCTCGAGCAGAGGAGCAGCAATGATAATAAAATAACCCTGGGCTTTCATACAGCAACTTACACCACCAGCACTGCTGTTGGAGGTTGGATTAGAGGGCATGATGTGTTGGTGTCTCAGAGCAAATATGCCCAAGCTGTTGACCCATTTGGAAGGTGTCTCTCTAAGTTCATTCCCTTACAAAAGGATGTTCTAAAGATGAGCAATAAGGCACTATGTGCCATGATGAATTACAAATACTCAAAGCATGGTTCTGTGAATACTTCAGAAGAAGGGAAGTCACAGCCACACTGAGAACACTTCGCACTTTTTAACACAAGACACACTTTACCTCTCCCATCCTTCCCCAAGTCACGGGCCACTCTTGGTTTCCTTTCAGGGACTGTATAAATCTCTTACTTCACATGATGATAACTGTGCCTCCCTCTCTTACTGAACTTACATAGAAACTCTCCAAGAAGACTCTTTGAGGCATGAGAACTGTCAGTTTGCTATGAACAAAATTTCTTGAAGAGCAAATGCATTTGCAACAGGCAGGGGATTCTTCTGTGTTCCTGCAGGTCTTAAGAGCTGCAGCTGTTCTGTGCTGGGTTAAACAGCCACAGCTACAAGCTCCTGCCACATTAACACCCGTTACCCATTTGTGATGGGCAATTGAGCTTCACCGGTGCATATGTATTTACTGGAATGCCTTCGGTGCAAGACAGGGGGAAATCGTAAAAACAAAGCAAAAGTGTTAAAAGCTTTCCCTTTTAAAGCCATTAAAACTGATCGAAGAGGTGAAGTGAGCCAGGCAGGAGAAAAGACCATCTGTTTCCTGCACCATAAGCAACAAGGCATCAGCATTTAATGCATCAGGAAAGTATACAGGCAGGTTAGAGGGGACAGGGTCTGTCCCATTGGAACGACCAAAGGCTGACATGGCTCTTCAGGGGGGTTTTGCTGTTGCCTTTTGGTGTCTTTTCTTAAGTCAAACAGATGAGAAGTATCCCATTCCCTGCCCTTTGCATTCCCAGAACTCTAAGAGTGAGATACACCCTCTTAAATCCTCTTTACTCTCCTTGGAGATTGAGTTAGAGACTGAGGCAGATCTTTGACAGGGATTGAGATGGCAAGGCACAGTTTCCTTAGTTATCTGTCTACCTAGATATTCTGAAACTGCAAAACAGAGTGAAACACCCTCTTTCTGCAAAGCCTTTGGGGACTGAGCACCACTTGGGAGTGGGCAGGGTCACCAGATCTTGGGTTTTAAGAGGCTGAGGTAACTCAAAGGTCATTCCCACACCCACAGATTTAACGAGCAGAACTTCTGCTGGCCTTGCTCTGCCACTGGAGCACATGCACATCCCTGATGCAAAATGCTGCCTCGACAAAAATCACTGTGCAAACTGGCTCAGAGCCCGGGGCTAAGAGCTGCCAACAGCACTGGGCTGCTGGAGGCCTCGCTCTGGCCTTTTCCATCAGCCAAACCTGCCTAGGTGGGGATGTGAGTTTAGCCTTGAGAGTCAATCCTAGTTTGGAATGAATATAAGCAGCGAAATTTTGGCCTGCGTGGTCCATGTGGCATCATGCACAGTTACAATACTTAGCATTTTTTCCTTGTAAAATTTACTCTAATTGGAGAATTTTATCCACTTCAGAGCTATTTAGGTTTTCTAAGGCAGTGAAAATGCACACAGGTCTGAAACAGCATCACATTATACATTACCAGTAAAAGAAACACAGCTTACAGATATTTTGCAATTTAAAATTTATCTCTCATAAAAGAAAAAAAAATATATGAATATATGAACAGTTTGAAGGAAAAAGGCAATAGGAAAAAATATGGCTGGAAATGCCAGTCACTATTTCCTTACAAATCAGGTCCCAACCTCAGTGTCTCGCTTCTAAAAACTGAAAAGAATAATAATATTGACAATAATAAATAAAGCTTTTCCCTACCTGTGTGTTGGATTAATTATTTCATTTATGCTGGAAAAGCTCATGAAAATCCTTACATGGAACACACAACAGAAGTTATCATTTATTATTCATTACAAACAGCCCTTACATAGAGTCCAAAGCAGTAGCAGGAAGTTTACTAAATACAAGCAAAACTGTGGCCTTTTTAGAAGACAGGCAAAAAACCACAAAACACGATGGGCAATATTATTTCCCAAGATTTTTGTCCACTTATGCAGAATGTATGATCCATTTATGAACAGAAAAGTTCAAAATGGGGCTTTTTACATGTCTGCAAAGTTCCTCAACACGTCCAATCCATTTGGAAGGTTGTTCCACTGCTAAGCAACACAAGCCCTAAGGAGAGCTCATAATAAGAAACAATTTCTGAAATATGCTAATCAAAGATCATGCTTTGTTAATCAGATTTCTACATGACTGGGAGCAGATGCTCATCACTGGCAGGAGAACACACCCTGGGGAATAAGATGAAACATAACAACCGAATTTGTCATTACAATTCTTTTTGTCCTAAAGCAACGGGGATGAAATCTTTGAAAATGAAGAGCTAAAAGTAAAAAATAAATAAATAAAGTGGGAAGATGATGTTGTATTATCAGCTTGGAAGGAAAGCTACAGCCATCCCTTCCTATGTCAAGGAGTCTGCACTCTGGCCTGTCTGCACAGTAGGAGCAAAAATACCTTAAGCCTGGCTTTGAGATGTGAACATTGTCCCACTTTTTCTTTAGACTGAGTCTGAAGGTAAAACTGATGGTCAGTTAATCTCACCTGACAGTGGCTGAGGATTCATCCACAACTTTTGTAAGGGGATATGTGTCCAGTCAGTGTTGGAATTCAGGGTTTCACATAAACTCTTTGATGAAAACCCATTTCAGTCACCCTGCCCATCACTGTGTGAGCCCAGGCTCCACAGTTTCCTGTTCTGAGCATTTCCCGTGTTCAAATCCCTGCACACTCGGTCTCCAAGGGGGGTATCCATCCCAGGGGGCAGCTGGCTGAAAGAAACACTGCACAGCTCTCAGTTATAACCCTTTTCAGAAGCTTTTCATCCTGGGAAAATTTAGGATGTCTGGCTTTTCATCTTGGCTCAAAAATCTCCCTCCCTTCACACCCAGAGGTTTCTGCTGCTGACATTTGCTTTCTGCCCAGCTGCCCAGGAACTCTGAGCTGGGAAGTCTCTTCCTGTCTGACAAGTGAAGAAGTGTTTAGATGGGTTGGAGTTTCTGCTTCATTGGCCGCAACATTTTTGGAAGAAAATTGTACTCTGCAGGTCAGCTGATTGCACTGCAAAGGGAAAGGCTCTCCTACATACACAGTGACCCAAAACCTGTGCTAGACTCATTTATATAAAATAAAGGTGCAGCATCAAAGTTCCTGTTGTTAAGAGACAAAAGATTTGCATTCCTTAGTTTCTTTTTTTTTTTCCCCCTAGCTTTTATAATGCAGAGCAACCTAAATTCTCTCTTAAAACAATAAATCTTCTCTGGTTATCTCAAAAAGAGAGCAGAATAATTTGTAGACATAAACACCAGGGATGGCACCAGCCTGCTAACAACCTCCTAATGCTATGTTGACATTGCTCTCCAGTACCAAAAGGACTACAAACACCAACTGCATCCCAAATCCCTTTCCCTCCCAGCTCCACCCAGCAGAACAGAGAACTCTCCCTTATGAACCGAGCACACTTTCCTCTCCCCTCCTTGCACCATTCACCAGAGGCCGTGGGTTTCCAGTATAAATCAGTGTTGCACAAAGACCCACCAGCAGTGTTTGAGATACTTTTCTATTAAATTTCACGTTTTTATTTATTACCCTGCTGTAAAAGAAGACTTATGACTTGCAGGAAAATCTTTAGTTCGGTCAGTGGCAGCACAGGGAGGAGCTGCTCTCTAAGATTGTGGCTCCATATGCTGTGGCAGTGGGTCACTGTGTTAATCACAACAGAGGGAATTTCCTTTTCACACATCTGACTTTAAAAGGGTGCTAACAAATAAATACTTTCAGCCTCTCACAGCAATGGATGTGTAATCCTGCAGAAACTGTACAACTAGTTCACAACAAGATTTATGAGCTTGATTCTCTTTTTATGACCGTTCCTCAGGGGAAAGAGAGTAATTTCAAAGTGGAGCTGTTTAGTGGAGCTGAAATGAACTGCACAATCAAAAAGAGATGGTATTATGTAAATATTGGGTTTTCTGTTTTCAAAATAAGCGCTATGATCACTCAATGACAAAAATACTCCCTCATAATGCAACGTCAAGAGCAGTTGCTTTTGTGCAATCCCCTTGGATCTGCTCTGACTACATAAGAAAAGAAGAGCATCTGTTGGGAAAGGTATGATGAACTGGAAAATGAGACCTGCTGCCTTCAGTGCAGAGGTCCCAGGGTATATTTTAATACAAAAGGGATTGATGATTAAAACTAAGCCTCTCAATTAAATGATGCACTACACTACAGTTGTGCATTTCAGAATGATCATGTGTCAGTGGATTCCAGCTATGCTCCACCTGCAGGCATGAGAAAGGAAAGCACAGTTCCTGGCTGTAGAGGCCAGGAAATGGGCAGGAATGGGAAAGGCAGGAATGGGAAAGCTGCAGACACGAGCAGGGCTGGGCAGGCAGTGGACAGAAGGCTCCGACTTTCACCTGATTTCCCCCCTCACTCAGAGTGAAGCTCAGATGGCATCTTATGTCAAACTTCAGACCTAAGAGGGAAGGTCTCAAAGCAGCATCTTGTCTCCACTTGCAGCACAGTGACAGCCAAAAAGAAAGAAGTGTGACTGAGGCACCTGAGCAGTGGCCTGGTGGAGTCTCACTCCACACTTCCACGAAAACCCTGGTATGGCAAATGTTTAAGAAGCCACTAAGCTGCTTAAACGTGTGCTTGGAAAAACCCCTACAAGCTTTGCTCTTGATTTTTGC